ACACTGATCCCTCATTTAGCAACTATTTCAAGTTACACTTATCCCTCATTTAGAAACAATTTCAACGTTCACTGATCCCTCATTTAAAAACTATTTCAACTTACACTGATCCCTCATTTAGAAACTATGACAACTTACACTGATCACTCATTTAGAAACTATTTCACCTTACACCGATCCCTCATTTAGAAACTATGACAACGTACGCTGATCCCTCATTTAAAAACTATTTCAATTTACACTGTTCCCATGACAACTTACACTGATCCCTCATTTAGAAACTATGATAACTTACACCGATCCCTCATTTAGAAACTATGACAACTTACACTGATCCCTCATTTAGAAACTATTTCAACTTACACTGATCCCTCATATAGAAACTATTTCAACTTACACTGATCCCTCATTTAGAAACTATGACAACTTACACTGATCCCTCATATAGAAACTATTTCACCTGACACTGATCCCTCATTTAGCAACTATTTCAAGTTACACTTATCCCTCATTTAGAAACAATTTCAACGTTCACTGATCCCTCATTTAAAAACTATTTCAACTTACACTGATCCCTCATTTAGAAACTATGATAACTTACACCGATCCCTCATTTAGAAACTATGACAACTTACACTAATCACTCATTTAGAAACTATTTCACCTTACACCGATCCCTCATTTAGAAACTAGGACAACGTACGCTGATCCCTCATTTAAAAACTATTTCAATTTACACTGTTCCCATGACAACTTACACTGATCCCTCGCACTGTTTCGGCTGATAGAATCCGTTTTCATCACAGAGGGGTTCGACAGCGCCGAGGAGCCCGAATCCGCCATTGGTCTGTTGACTGGCTAGATACGTCTGGTGAGCTGCAGCGCATGGAGCTATAACGATGACAAACGATGATAATTAGGGTGCATTTGATTATGTGTATTTCTTTCGTAAAATCAAACGCTTTCATAAAAGAAAAAACATATACTTCATGCAATTATATTTCAGAAAGAAAAATGCATTCCTGTATTGAGTTCCTTAGCACAAAATTAATATTTACCAGAAAGTTTGGTAACTTACAAAAGCTTAACAGTAAAATTGTATTAAACATTAACCGGAAAATCAACACCATTAGATGGTCCAAGTTCAGGAGGAAGACGGCCAGCCCTTGGCACCAAATCGCTTGTTAACGATATGATTGGCGTTCATTAGTCAACTGCTGCGGTTTTCCGAACGCTGTGATGACAGGTCGAAGGTTATGAAACCACGAAACAACGACTACAGGTATTGTATAACGACTCTACGGCCATACCAAAACTATATAAAGGTCTACATATCAGCAATAACTGCACATCCATGTACTTTGTTGATAATTCTGTCTGTGATACATGTTGCAGTTATACCAGTATGTCTGCAGCATGTTTGCAGTATAGTGTTTTTACTTTTTTTTTTATATTTTATATAAGAAGTGAAATTATGATTGATGTTTTCCCTTATAATTCAAAATGTTCCCATTGTTATAAGCGAGAACAGATAAATAACCGGAACAGCAACAGAAGAACAACTGATTAAATTGTTTTTAATTTTGATAAAAGAAATATGGTACTTGCAATGAATAGAATAAGTGCCGGAAACATTTTAAATACAATTTTAAAACAATGTATTTTTTCGAGCTCGCAATTATTATATTTTGTCTTTATACAATTTGAAAATCAACTAACTCAAGTTAGGTAGTCCTGATTTGCAACCTTCACTTGTAGGGGTACCTCTCTGAATATAATATATAATGTAACTATAATATATAATGTAACTATAATATATAATGTCACTATAATATATAATGCAACTATAATATATAATGTCACTATAATATATAATGCAACTATAATATATAATGCAACTATAATATATAATATATCTATAATATATAACATAACTATAATACATAATGTAACTATAATATAACTATAATATGTAATATAACTATAATATGTAATATAACTATAATATATAGTGTAACTATAATATATAATGTCACTATAATATATAATTTAACTATAATATATAATGTCACTATAATATATAATGTAACTATAGTATATAATGTAACTATAATATATAATGTAACTATAATATAACTATAATATATAATATAACTATAATATATAATATAACTATAATATATAATGTAACTATAATAAGAATATCCTATATATGTTAGATTGTTGACTGTTTCTAAACAAATGATAATTACGTTGTGTTAAGTTGTGTAAACACCAAAAGGCATTATGAAATATAAGTGAGCAGTTTGAACTCGATATTTAATAACTCAACATATTGGTCAGAGATCTAGCATATATCTCTCACTTGTTAACACCATACATACTCTTTAATTCCACAAGATGATATTCATTTTATTTGGCACAGTTGAAATAAATATTTAAATCCTGCCTTTTTAAGATATAGCTACTAATGCTTTTACTGATAGACATTAAAAATAATAGAAAAAAACCTTACCCGTTTCCCGAACGGCCTGAACGTGGGCATCTGTAAGGAACAAGAGAGAGAATCATTTAGTAAACGAAAAATAATATAGCACTTGCTTCCCTATGAAAAGGAGCATGACTCGTTTTGGTCGAAGAAGTCACCCGGTCTTTGTTAGTTTGGTAAGTAAACAGTAGTGGATTAGTGTATTCATGTAATCTATTACAAAAATCTCCTTTTGGTAACATAGAGACAGAACTGAAGAAAAGCATCCCACAGCGACTCCAGTAACTTACTTTAACAAAAGGCAAACACAAAGAATCATACATTGATTTCGCAATTATTTATTGCACATTTATTTTCTGTTTCGATGTTTATACTTCAATTGGTCTAAAGACAACTCGTATAAACTACAAAGCAGTTCGTGTCATTGTTTTCCCTCTTGACCCGTCGCTGTACGTAGAAACCCATCACAACAGGACAAGATATAATTCTCATAATATGTGGCTGGTCTTTGAACAAATTCGGAGACACTCGTTAGTTATAAGTTCAGACTGAAGCAGGCCCACTGTTGCCCGGATTTTAATATAATATTTAAAAGCTTTGTCAATCTAAAATAGCATGTACAAATATCAGAATGACTTACCGGAAACGCAATGCATGGTGTGGGGATCACAGTGAAGACCCTTGCCGCACTGCGAATTACTGGGAACGCCGAGCAGGAACCCGGAGCCACAGTAGGCTCCCTCAACTGGAAACAGATTTATTGCTTAGTCTGATTCAGGGGGAAACGTTGGCGTTAAGACAGAAAAAAACGCAACCAAAATAGAAAAATCTCAATCTTTTAAGTATGTTTTCAATGTCTAACCCGAGGTTAGCCTTTTATAATCTTACCGCGATGGTTTAGATGTTTTTTGCCTTTAGTGGGAAATGATTATTTCTCCAACCTCAAATGTGGATGTAGGTTGAAAGATTTCCCCAGCAAATCTAATCAATTTCCTTTTTTTATGAACGTCATATCAATTGTTTCCATGACGTCACGTCATTGTGTAAAGCAAAGCGTGCAGTTTGTCTTTAGCCAAGAGTGTGGACAGAGAAATTCATATCACCTATCCAAAGTGAGAGAAAAGCTGTCTTTATCTTCCTATGGAAAGCCAGGTCAAAAACACCATTGTTTTAAATACGTCACCAGTACAATTTGGAGTATTTCATGATCGGGAAGTGTAGGTGAAAATAACTAATTAGCTAAATATGCACTCAAGACAAAGCTTCGTGCTGGGCCTCAACATTTTAACCTCGGGTACATAGATTTCTTTGCCTACATCACATAGGAGTTATATCTCTTTTAGCAGACCAATTAACACTAGACTATGTTGAAATTTATTTTTCCAAAACACACGCATCCTGTCCGCTGCTGACATGTTTGTCGTTCTGTGATAGCCCGTCTTATCTGGTGAAAGGTGGACGGTCGTGTACGGCTGGGGGCTGTGAGAGGTGGACGGTCGTGTTTGGCTGGGGGATGTGTGAGGTGGCCAGATGACAGACAGGGATGGTACATTTAACTTCAAGATTTGTTTCTAAGCCTTTGATACAGGTCCTTACAAAACACTTCTCTATCATTTGAACTACTTTGACATTCGGAACATGATACGTGAATTGACATTATTGTCCCTTTCTGATCGATCATATGACGTTATTCCAACGGTACGACTTTCACAACTTCCTCTCCCGTCTCTGTTGATGCTCAAGTTTAGGTCACGCTCTCTTCCTTGCTTTGATTCATGACCTACCAGAAATTGTTAGATCCCATGTTAGTCTCATTTCAGCTGATTTGTTTGGTGTATAGGACATAAAACCTGCTAAACCACAAGGTTTAAAACCACTATGGCAAATTCTTTTCAATCCCACATAATCGAAAACTCGAAATTACCACACAAAGATTTAGTTTCAACCAAAGAACCAGAACAGCAAGTGTTACATGAAATCCTATTATAAAATAGTCAAAATATTAACATATACCTCCTTAGTATGGCCATAAGTGGAATATACATTGCCTGTCAGAGACCCATATACATACAAGGCAAGGCAGCTAGATATGTCTTCAGCAATAACACGGACAACACACTAGTATGCTACACATATTTCAATTCGTTAGAGAACATATATACTAACGAACCCCTCGACATCCTAAACAAAATGAAGCATAACCACAAAACTATTTCCACAGAGACTTCTATTGCAATAAGAAGAAATCAGCCCTTACACAGGTATAGACAAATACAAACGTGAACATATGTCTCGTTGATAAGTCTTTGTCCCGTGCACCATTGTCAACTGGAAAGACTTAGTATCGCACAACCGACACTGATTTCCTTCTATATTCACAATTTGAATTTCTTCTGCTAAAGGGACATATTCTAACAACTATTCATAATAACACTGCACGATGTTCGACAGAGAAAGAACCAAGAGTTATGGTTTAGGCAATCAAGGATGTGGAACCATTTATCTGAGATAATAGCGCTACCATATTAAAGAGTGTATCGTCACAACTCTGAATTACTTTCTCTGTTTTTTTGTAAAATAGTTTCAGATTTCATAAGGTTATAAAAAAACATCAGATATTAAAACTGGTTGTCTTCTATAAAACGTTATGCTGAAGCCATTATGTACTCACTAAGAAGTTCCTTGCAAGCATCACAACAGCCACAGAATCCGCCGTTCTGTACTACGAGCCCATTACACGTATCCTCGGTAACGGCCGCACACCTCACTGTAGCGCACTGATTCGGTAGGCATACAATGGCCTCACTCACTACAATCGCCAGAGAAAAGCATATCAAAAGTTTCAACATTTTGTTTGATGACTTGGTTCACACAAGTTAGAACTCGACTGAGGTGGCAATGCTTTCTGCTGCTTTAAAGCCACCTTTTCCTTATCATTTGATCACGCGGCTACCGCGCGTGTGAAGCGACACCTGCGTTCAGGGACAGACGGTGCGTCCTTGGAAGAGAAACAGACATTCTTTAACACAAACATTATTGAATATATAACATGATCTGACAAAACAACAGTTTTTGAAACTTTATTTACATCCATGGACAAACACATTACAACCAGTTGTACGTGTTACAGGTGTCAATGGTAGCATTTCAATGACGTAAGTTCAATTATTAATATTGCATAGATAACATTACAATATATTCCTGGTGGTCGTTTACATTCCCAAATAAGATTCAACATGTACATGTATACCAATAGTCTGTCCGATAAAGACACCGTCCCACTGAACTTATGTGTGTGTCTCGGCTTTGACCTTCGATTGTTTACCGCGCCCTACAAGCTATTTCGGGCATATGCTAGGGACATTGTCCACTTTTCTAAGAAGACTTCCTTTCGTTGAAAATACCAGCTACGTACTGGGAAATACCAGCTTCATACTGAAACTGAAATGCGTGGCGAGCGTCTGTAATGAACAACATTATAATTCACCGTTACACGAATTAATTTCTATTTTGCAAAAAAATAATAATACACTGTATATAGCAATGACACCTGTGTCAATTTCATTTCAACACACTAATGATTAAAAAAATAATCTCAACAACAATCAGTCGGCTATCTCTCAGTCCTTTATGTGTTCTTCTACAGTCTACATGGAATACTAGTTTTTAAGAAATAATCTGCCGCAGCTTAAAGATGTAAATGTATATCTTAATGGTCTTATAGGCACATTTGGCCTTATGTGTTTGTCTACGTATACTGTGGACCACTTTATAAATACATGAATTTTCAATCTTTTGATCCTTGGTGCCACTGATTCGTCCTAAACTGACAAATAGCCACATGGTGCAGTAAATATGTTTGTTTTACACCCTATTAGCAACTATGTCCATTTAAGGACGTTTCAGGTTTTGGTGGTGGAGGAAAGCCTGAGTTTCTGGATAACAACCACCGACCTACGGCCAGTACCTGGCGACTGCCCCACGCGCGCGCGTAGGCCTCGAACCCGCGACCCAGTGGTGGAGGGCTAGTGGTAGCAGAATGTCAGACACCTTAACCACTTTGGCCACCGCGTTCCTTTTCTTACCTTCGACATGTTTCTTTGGTCTAATAATAGTATTAATATAAACTGCTGTGTAGTGATACCAACACTGTCTCTCCGAAAAGAGAGATTTACTAGGTGCAAATTTAACAATTCCTCTTACCTACATATATGTAAGTTGCTACATGATACCACATATAATTACCTTAATCCTGTCCCATGTAAAAAAAAGTACGGCCTACGCCTACGACTTCACGTAGCCTTCGGTTCACTGATTGACCACTGGCTGACCTCTAGCTGACCTTGACCGGTTGCATAGGAGGGCCCTAGTGTCCCATTGCTATGTTCTTATAAGAACCTTTCTCCTCCCCAGGAAATCTTAAACATTACTTACATAATGTAAGATAAATGTAACAATTGCACAATTTGCACCAAGTTAATGCGAATACTGACGCTGATATTGACTATGAGTTACTATTGGAAATCCTATGCCAGTCCGGTAACAGAGCTAAGTATCAATTAAGAATGGCACCACAGGGCTTCCATACATTTTACTATCTAATACGTACCTAGATATGGACATTGTATCATTAATTCGAATCAACTTATGACAGATTTCAAGACACCTCGGGAGAAATAAAATAATAATAAAAAATGGTGTCCAACATTTCATGGATCCCTCCAGCCACTAGGAGGCTCAGTAGGCTGTAGAGGAGAAAATAAGCTCAAGAAATTAGAGAAGATCAATGACTGGACACTCAGATAATAAAACGGTCAATCTAAACACCACTGGACATAATCCAAAACCCCCTGGACATAATCCAATACCCCTTGGACATAATCCAATACCCCCTGGACATAATCCAACACCCCCTGGACATAATCCAACACCCCCCGGACATAATCCAACACCCCCTGGACATAATACAATACTGCACATAAACGATATCAAAATATAACTGTATCGCGATATTATATTTAGCTGTTTAAAAAGGAACTTAATATAAATATTTAGGAAACAGAAAATATCTTCCTTTTACAAGTTCATTCACTTTAATGATATAATATACCTTATAAACTCTGTAAACCTTCCCAACTATTTGTTATGTATACAAATTGCCCCCCCCCCCCCCCCCCCCCCCCCTTATTTCAATGTTTTGTTTCAACAAAAAAAGTAGTTTCTACTTATTCATGTCCAAAGCTTCCCTATCTCACCCTGTACGCGCTGTTACAGTGGACATTTTCACGTGAGGAAATGTTCGCGTTGTGACCCTTGAAACTGATTTGTAATTCAGAAATTTTCACGTTGGCAATAGCCCTGAAAATCTAAATGTAAGCTCTCATTGTGTTTGCGTTGCCCCTGTGGTAACTTTGTATCATAGTGGAGGCAAAAGTTATGTTATAGTCCCCTGTGGTAAGTTAACATAAGTTGGGAAACAATAGTTATGTTACAGGCCCCTGTGGTAACTTTGTATTATAAACGATGCGAAAATAAGGTGTCAGGTCCCTGTGGTAGCTGTATATTATTGAAGGCAACTATTCCACACCAGGCTATTTCCATCCATGCTTGGAGATACTTGACGCAGTGTTTACCTGCTATCAATGATTATAGTGATATAGGGATTACTAGCTATAGGGATTAGCTGTAATTATTCTACCTAATATAAAGCGAACCAAAGCAGGAGTTACCTATCATGTACTAAGCTTGAAATTAAACAAAATAGTAATATATCTCAATATTTTAAGCAGCCCTTTAAAACAAAAAATTGTATATAATTTTGTTGTTGTTGTTATGTGACTGTAAAAGAGATGTCCAATAAAATCATCATAAGAGCTAAGCTCACGGGTGCCGAAGGCACCCGTGCGAAGCTCTTTACCGGTAACATGTGCGTGTAAATAGATCTGATCCAACCAAACTGATTCCATCACTGAATAGTACAGCTACAGCCTAGAAACTTTTCGTACTTCCGGTGACCTCTTCCGGTTTCATGGAGCCCNTTATGTCTCCTGTTTTTGGAATCAATGCATATTGGTATCGCCAAGAATTTGCCAAAACCAGAGGCATGGTCCATTGGCATGGCCTTTGCTGGAGGTCTGACAAACAGCCACATGCACTGATTCATGAAGCGCTTGAAAGAGGTTTGACTGATGATGAGTGTGCTGAAGAATTGGCAAATTGGGCAGCTAACCAATTTGGAATGACTGCTTCACATCCAGCTGGCAAAGATCACAATGGAGAATCAAAGAAAAACCTATGGCCACCTCCAGAAGGAACTGCACCAGCACCACCAGAGCAAGACAATCCTCTTCAGAAACTTTTAATGGATGTAAGCTCAACACAAGAATCCTTGCTTGAAGACTATATTCTCCTAACCAACAGGGTCAATTTACACCGTTGTTCTGAAACATACTGCCTCAAACAGACAAAAACAAGAAACAAAAAACTGTGTAGGATGGAATTCCCCAAACCTCTTCGTTCAGTTGCGGCTATTGTACATGACAAAAACAATTCTCTCCGTTTAGAAATGTCAAGGGATCATCCAGTTCTGCTCCAAAATTCACGCTTTCACACTCAAGGATGGAGAGCCAATGGAGATGTATCACTAATTCTTTCCAAAAGCAATCCACAGAATCCTTCCGTGAATGAAATTATTGCCACAGAACGATACATCACTGGATATGCGTGCAAAGGCAACCAACCAACTGGCGCTATAGTAGACCTGTTCAGTGATATGGTGAATTGTGCTGATGAATCAACGGGTGCATCAGCTAATCCCTCTGCACGAAACTTCTGGTGAACACCGTCAAAAGGGACATTTCTGCAGTTGAAGCGTCCTTTGAGTTATCATCACTTCCACTATATCGCTGCAGTCACACCTTCCAGTCTGTTGGTTTGTCAGGTGCTAGAGTACTAGAAAACGGGGGTGCAATAATCACAAAAAACACAGCTTTGGACAGGTATCTATCCCGGAATGAAACTAATCAGAGTTCTCTGTACAATTTTGTGTGCCACTCAGGAAAAGTTCCGGTCATTTCTGGAGCCAGTAGTCTACCTTCCTGGCCCCTTGATGAAAACTACTGCAGGACAATGCTCCTTTTACATTTTCCAAACTGGAGAAAAATCTCAGACATCAAGGATCAGGATACATCATGGACTGACAAATTCAATTTTTTTTTTCAAACAGCGATCTGTCCAAACTTTGTAAAAGCTGAAGTAAAAAGGGCAAAAAAACATGACACTCATGAAATTGAGGAGGAATTTGAAGTTGAAGAGTCTCATGAGAATGATGTAGAACAGCCAGAATGGATGGACGCTCTTCGACCAACTGCATGCTATGATGCAGTCCCATACGAATTTCATTATGATGATGGTGGGCCGGGATACAACTGGAATCAAAGATCATTGCTCCAACAAGATGTAGGAAAGTCATGGATTGAGCACATCAAAGAAAATAGCAATGAGCCAAACAATGTTCTTGATGTACCAAACGTTGTCCTTACCAACATGAATGAAGATCAGAGGCTTGCATTCAATATTGTAATGGATACTCTACATCGATACATAGATGAAGATAATGCCTTTAAGCCTTTAAGGATGGTTGTATCTGGTACTGCAGGTTCTGGAAAGTCATACCTGATAAAATGTTTAGTGAAGGGTATAAGAAATCTCTTCAAGACAAACAGAGCAGTACAAATACTCTGTCCTACTGGAAGTAGTGCAAACCTCATTTCTGGTGTAACTTTGCACAGCTTTTTGAAAATACCAACACATCATAAGGGTAAAGAGATGAAACAGCCAGATGGGAAGATTGGGAAACTGCTACAAGAAAACTGTAGAGGTGTAGAAGTCCTACTTGTGGATGAAAGATCATTAATAGGTGCCACTACCTTAGGATGGATGGAGTTCATGTGCAGGTGTGCCATGTACTCAGGATCTAAATCTCAAGAGACTTGGGGTGGTCTCCCAGTTGTCGTGTTTTTAGGTGACGATGTCCAGCTTCCACCTGTGTTAGACTCCCCAGTTTACAACTGCAAAAGTAAAGTTCCAGCTGCAATGCATGGTGTTCTTGTCTGGAAAGAATTTGATAGAGTTGTTCACTTACAGAACATCATCCGACAAAGCCAGTCTGAAAAACATCTTAGAGAACTGCTATCAGCTTTGAGAGAATACCAGGCCTCACCAGTACAAGCACAGTGGTTACAGCAGTTCCAGTGGAACAACTTAAGGACTAGATATGGCAATGAACTCCTGCAAAGTATGTCAGAGGAAGGATTGTTTGTTTTTCCCACACATGAGGAAGAATGGCAACATAACAAGTGCCAAATTCTGAAAGTAAATGCACAACATCCAATTGCAAAATGTAAAGCAATTACCAAAGGACCACATTCTAAATTTGGTAATGTCACTGCAGGAGGCCTATTAGATACAGTTTTCATTAGCAGAGATGCAAAGGTAATGTTGTCTGTGAATCTATGTGTTTCCTTTGGTTTGTTCAATGGTGCTATGGGCAAAGTGATGGATATTGTTTACCTTGATGGTAAACAACCTTCCGATTCCCTCCCAGATGTTGTAATGGTCGAGTTTCCCAGTTACACTGGACCCCCATTCCTGAAAGAAAATAACAAAGTCATTCCAGTAGTACCAGTGACCAGACAGCTTGACTGTGGATGCTTTTCGTGCAAAAGAGAACAGATTCCTCTTAGACTTGGATGGGCAACAACTATCCACAAGTGTCAAGGAATGACAATTGGAACTGGGGAACCTAACCGTTTCATTGTTATAAACCCTGGAACACGTAGTTTTGAATCTAGAAATCCTGGCGCCCTGTTTGTGGCATTATCACGAGCAAAGTCCTCTGGTGCAGTAGAAGGCACTTATCCAGATTTTGCATGGCACCCAGCAGTTCTCATCAATGAGGACAGGATCTGTCATGTTGTTCGAACAGCAACAACATCTGCCAGAGCAAATGAAATACACCGCCTTACACAAATTGCTCAGGGTACAAAACAAATTTTCAGCAGCTTAAAAGATGATAACTCTTTTCTACGACACTTTTCAGAAGAATGAAATTCTTTACAAACACTTTCACATGACAACAATGTTACACCAGTTAGGTGGGTGATGTGATAATCGCTAACCTTTGTGGTGTTTCTGTTCAACATTATCTGTCTTTAGTTTCACACTCTCTAAACTCTTTTCATTCAAATTTCACTCCCATAACATTTCACATTCAGTATTTGCAAACTAAACGAAAAATGAGACACAGATTGGCCTATATTATCAATAAATGCATCCCTTAACTTCCAAAGAACTCGAACATACTTCAAATCCTCAATATAAGTTCATCTTTCTTAAGTCAAATGAAAATGAGACAGAGCATTGACATCCAGTAAACAAACAATAAGACGATAACTGGTGTTATTTGAAGGCCTCTTCATACCTGTATCATTCACATTAGTACATGTATGTATATATGTAAAATCAAACATGATGGTGGGTGATGTGATAATCGCTAACCTTCCATGAATTAAATACATGTGTACTTGTAACTCAGGGGGTTGTACTATTAAAGATTAAGCATAAAATATTATCAAGATGAATCAAATATGATGAGAAAACTCTGTATAGTCATACAGTAAGTTGTAAAGTAATGGTTTAACAAACTCACTACTGTAAAAGCATATATTTTGTTGCTGTTAAATTTTGTTGAGGGACAAATTTGTTGGGATTATATTTTCGTTGAATTAAACTTTTTAAAACCCTGTATTTTGACAGGCATGACGACACACTGCAGGTAAATATAGTACAGGTACGATCGGGCGATGTTTTACTCACTCGATTGGTATCGGTCAAATCTGTTGCACTCTATAGCTTATATACAAAGAGCGGTATACACATATAATGAATACTTTAATTTGTAGACACACATAGACTTACATGTACCTTGTCAGTAGTTGACAGAGGTTGAAGCTATTCAAATAACTGCAGCTAAAGATGCAATTAAAAAAGCTTCAAGTAATGTGTGTGTTTAAAATTTTGTTGGGATTATATTTGAAAACCATGAAATAAACGAAATCAAATCTCACCTAAATATTATGCTTTTACAGTATCACCAGGTACAAAATTGTCTACACACTTCTGACTTTCACATTGTCCATTTCTTCCTATGTTCTTCTCATCAGTATTAATTAACTTAATCATTGTAGAATGTTACATCTTATAATTGCAACTGATTCAAGAGGCAGAGGTCTGCAATGCTACCAAGAAAGGTATCATCCACATTGGAGTGTCACATATATTTTTAGGCCCGGGGCAACATTTTCAACATTGCAACAACAAGTACAGACAAAAGTGCTAGCAAATGATATAAATCACATACTTGTATTTGCAGGGATATGTAATTTTACAGAAAAAAATAGTCATTTTGGGGGGGTGGAAGTAACATACGGATCCAGTAAATTTGAAAAAACACAAAAGGAGTTAGACAAATTTTATCAAATTTCAAATGAAAACACCAGCATACAAGTCACTACAATTCCACCAGCACATTTGGCAAAGTACAATAACTTTCAAATGCACAAAGGACGCCTTATTCAACCACATTTAACACCAATATTGACTCGGGCACAGCAAGTCAATCTTGAAACTGACATAAATTCCATCAACACAATCATCACTGAACACAACACAGCACACAATCTTTCGACCCTCAAATTTGACAATGACATAATAAGGGTATCAATCAAACATCGAGGAAAACATGGTCAAAATCGCAAAAAAATCACAAAGTATGATTACACTAAGTTATACGATGGTGTCCATCCTGAAACTTCACTTGCAAACAAATGGTTTGAGCTTATATGCCAATCCATCTCTAGGTATCTACAAAAACTTCACTGCAACAGCGATGATGAAGAGGAGGAATCTCCTGCTGTAGATACCTGGGATTTCAAACGTTTATAATCAGTACAAACATTAAATTTCATCATTTCACATGGATTATCTAAATTTTTAGAAAGAAAAATCTAAAATCTTTTAATGTATAGTGGTGGGAGACGTGACAGTCTCTAACCTGCTGTGTCTAACATGTTAAACATATTGTTGTTCGGAATAAAATACAAATACATGCTTCATGGATTGGCATATCTCACTATCAGCTCAAACCATTTGTTTTTAACATTCTGCCTACAACTCACATTATCATATTTACCCTATGATTTTTTCTTTCTTTTTAAATTACATCTGTTTCTTTTAAACTTTTGGATAAAAATAATAATACATATCACTATTATTATTATGAACATACATTATTACAGGGAGGGGATATATATACTAACTGGTATTCTTGGATATTACTTTCAATACATGGTCTAGTAGTACTGTACATACCAGTCAACTTCCAAATAACATGCGATGCATCATATTAGTGCAGTATGAATGATGAACAGACCAAACACAAGAACTTTGAAGAAGTACAAGGATGGATGATTTTGCCCAGCAACTGAACAGATTCCATTATTTTTATAAACCCAAGTACAGGTAAGAAATTTTTTTAGGTATTAAAATGTATGTTATGATTCAAAAATTAAATGTATTGAAACAAATGGACAGTAAGAGCTTCGCTCTCTCCAGGCCATGCCTGAGTCATATTATTGTAACACGTAATTAACATTCTGTGGCCGTGTGTGTTATTTAGTAACGTTTAGTGTGTAACGGTTTACTAAATAAATAAAAACTTAATAATATTAAGGTTTGGTAACTGTATTAATTGTTACAATGCTTTCCAGTAGTAATCGGTTGACCATAGCAGTTATGTTAATCTATCCACACAGTTAAGATTGCTAAGTTAAATGTTGTATTTGGAGAACGTTGGAATCAGAATGCGTGCATATTTAGGCCTATGCCACTAATGGATGTTATGGCCGATCCAAAATATTGTACGAAAGATACACACACATGATGCAAACATTTGAATTTTATTCTATTATCTTGATTTTGATTCAGTCAGTGAAAATCAGTGGTTTAGGTGAAAGTTCGTCTGTTTAAATGCATCCGGACCGCCTCCGCTTTAATTATTACATTAATTTATTATTTATTTATACCGGAAGTGTTTTCATGCCAAGCTTCCGTTTTTCTGGTTTGACAGAAGTTGACGGACAGAGAAGATAGACGAAGGCACATTACTGATGTAGGTAGCTGTAGTTTACTTTATTTACTTGATATATGTAGTCAGTAAATAGCATTGCAAAAGGAAATGGTGTAACAGCGTGTTTGTTTCACTCACTGTCTTGGGTTGGATGGACCACAAACATGCAGTTCTTTAGGTTAGTCTGACAGCAGGCTCCTGCCATTTTTCATCTTCATCTGTTTTATTTCAGCCATCGATTGATGAATCATCGAAATAATTGGCATTGTTTTGTAGGTTTGTGAAGCATTTTGTGAGTAAGTTTTACAGTGAATTTTTCCTAGTTTGCTATAACAGAAAAACTAAACAGGATCATTTTAGTTATTTGGTTTGTGTATGTCTTCTATCATGTTGTATGGGTGCTTTTGTAACAGGAGAGGAAAAATGCATGGCCAGACTGGGTTTCGAACCCAGAACCCTGCAAACTCTAGATGGATACTCAACCAATTGAGCTATCTGGTCGCCAATGATCGACCCAGTCCAGTTCTGCTACATTCCTACCTCCTTTTTCTAAGTCTTCGTATACAAGTATACACCAAATACTTGAAACAGTGCTTGGACACTCAACCAATTGAGCTATCTCGTCACCGATGATTTTTAATTCATGAAGAGCTGAGCATTATTAGGAATTACAGACGTTTCGCCTCAAAGACTATTTCGACCCATTTTTTTTTCACATCACCCCAATTTTCAGTTCATTTCACCCCAAATATGACAACCATATCGCCCCGAAATCTGTTTCACCTCTAAAGCTATATCGCCCCAACCGCTGCAAACCTATATTTAACAATATCTGATCTTGTGAAAGTGGCTGTAGTTATTGAGTTATATTTTTTAAAACATTAATTGTTTTGATGAGTTATCAGTTTGCATGTTGATAAAATAGATTGTCTGCTCAATTTGTGAAAAGTAAAAGATATGTTGAATGATGTGCCAATTGAGTTTCTGCCATTCATATAACACAATAGGCATTTTTGCCTGGGCTTCATCAGTTGAGAAGCAAAAATACTGTTCTTACCCTAAACATATTGAGATATCAGTATGAATTTCAAATTTTCCATGATTCAGAACGAAAATGATAATGTTGGTTTGAAATGTAGAATCACTGAATTAGATTAGATGCTATTTAAGTCCATGGAAGAATGTAACTTGGCAGAACACGTTATAGATTGATCTTTTATAGTTGTTTTTTTAATTAGTTTATGAAAAAAAACACCTTATGCTGAAAAAGAAGTAGATATATTACATAAACAAATATAAGTACACATATACTCTCTCTTGCAACGCACATAACATCTTATTGTAGTTTTTTGTTTCCGATCTACAGCACGCGTGTGTATAATCTAATTATTTTATACCTATGTTATCTACAATAAACAAATCTTGCCTAACATTGATACTATAGATATGTTACGATATAGATCTAGTTACGTTACGACACAAAAATTATGTCCGAAACATCAAACGAATTGCAACAGATATTATATTTTGAATGTCTATCTTTAAGAATATTACATAAAAGGTAGATATTTTACTTTAAAATTTGTCAAATTGTCGTAAATTTTATGGAGGGTTGTAGATTTTTGGGGCAAAATACAAATGTAGTTGGGGCGTTATGTTTTTTTGGGGCGAACTGGTCGGGGGCGCTATGAATCAAATTTGGGGAGTAACAGCTTGCAATTAGTAACAGCTTGCAATTGGGGCATTAAGGTTTAGGGGTGAATCGTCGGTCACCCCTTTAGTAGTAGTAATTAGGAGAAGAATCCATTGAGTTATGGTGTATGAAAATAATGAGTATTTGTAATTTGTTGTAATTTTTATGGAGGGTTGTAGTTTTCTGGGGCGAAGTAGTTGGGGCGTTATGTTTGATTGGGGCGAACTGGTTGGGTTGGTGTTTATTGCTACTTTAAGGTGTATTAGAACAGTAGATGAACCATGTTCTGGTTCTGCGTGATTGTGGTGTTGGCCATTAAAGATGGTTGGTTTATGCCCATGGTTAAACTTTAAGGAAGAGCTGAGGGGCACACAGTAGGTTGTTAGGTTAAGAAAACAAGGTTTACCACTTGAAACTGAAGCATATTTCAAATCAGAGCCCGTTATTGGCTGAAATGATGTAAAACTGTAAACTCTCTCCTGCCAGAAATAGGTTGGTATAACTACCTCAACTTTTCGAGATAGTGTATATGTCAGTTTTTATTTGATACCATCTCGGAAAACCAAGAGTTCCCATGCTGCCATGTTTATTTAAAGTTTATCTTTTCTAAATAACGTGGAATGTCTTGTTTCATGAGAGCTCCTTGCAGACATAAAAGATGTGTTTATATTTGCTACCAAAACACTTATGATATCAACAATTCTGCAGTGCCCATATATAGTAAGTGTCTGGTAAATTATCAGAGCATAGAAACTGGCCGATTACAGAAACTTGACCTCTGATGATGTCTGTATCAAGAATGATACAAACTGAGTATTTAAAGTGTGTTTCTGCCAATAGTTTATAGAATGAACATTAACCTATTGGGCCTTTAGAAATATCCAGACAAAGCCTCAACAAAGATGTAGTGATATGTACAATAATATTCAACAAATCAGAATTTGCAGTAGGTTTTTTTTCCCATTAATTTAGAGTAATGAATTATTATTGAAAAAGGGTTAAATGATTACATTCTATCAACATAATTATATAGCTAAAACAAAATGAAAATATATGATGACTTATTGATTTATCTAGTTTAGTAGCGTAACCCTGTTTTGCCAACCATGATATTTTCAATCCTTCTATTTTCCTAGCTAATTGTTTAAAGACTTTTATTTATAATATTAAGCCACCCTGTCTTCTGTTAGTGCGAGAGATTTCCCACTTTTTACTGAACCAAGGGAAGTAACTCTGGCAACCTTACATCATACACCCAAGATTTATAATAAAACCTTTTACAGATCTGAAGATCAACAACAGTGAAATAATTATGAATGATTCATGAATGTTTCATAAATGAAATATATGAATTGTTTCTGATAATTTTACGAATGTGTAATGTATGTTTACAGGGTTTGTTATATGGGATCATTGAATGGCTGCAGTATCCGCGCTATCTGGNGTTATTGATTAAATTTTTTGAAACATCTGGTTTTTTCATAGGGGGGTACTTTTTATACAGGGGGGGTACTTTTTGGTAGGGGTATAAAAAGTATCCGGATACTTTTTATTCTGCATAAAAAGTATCCGGATACTATTTAAGCAGGAGGTACATTTTATGCATGACACCGGTCCTGATTGATGGTACTGTTCGTATGAGTGTTTTTAAATATATATATATAATAAATCAGTAATCTATGCAAGTTTTTACAAAAAAAATGCTTTACTCCTAACTAGACTACAATGCATACATGTTCAGAATATACATGATGGAATACATTGAAATTATCATATTAGGTATGAGAGCCTCCAGGCTTCGGTATAAATCTAATGTATACCTTATCTGTAGATGTAGACTTTATCTTTATATAAAAGGGATGGATCAAATTGTATCAGCTAATAGTAATCACTCTTGTAGTCGGCCGGGATGGAAGCCCTTTTAGGTGTTAATTATTGTGGTAGCTAGGAAACCAGAGAATTTGGTTCACCTTTTCATGTCTCACAGATCAGGGAATCGAACCCTGGTCATCTTAGTGAAAAACAAGTGTGCTGCTTTCCACTGCACCTCCCAATCACCCAAACGTACGAAGATTTATAAATCACAATGTTAGTATGAAGCCCAGATCACAAATTAGGTTAAGATATAATATTTGAGGGGAGGGAAGGGGACAGCTTTGTTTGTGCAGGGTTTAATGTCCTTGTATACACAGCCCAGGTCGACATACGAGGCGGGGAAGGGGTGGATGCTGACCGAGTGTGGAAGAGAGTAAAGTCTGGACAACATTGGTAGCATTATTTGTTGTGTGTTGAGTATCAAAACGTTGTTTTAATAACACATTTCAGCAGATTCCTTAGTAAACCTATTGCTTGAAACTGATATTCGCTTTCCTTCGTATCATTGTAATTAAATCGTGCAGTTATTTAAGAATACGTTTTTATCCAATATGTTATGGCACTATACCATATCAGCATAGAAATAACACATTGTATTGGCAAATAAATTAAACCATGAATTATTGACCCATAGACACCTGAGTACATGTGTTTATTGCTATACATGTACGTGAAAACCCCTCCAGGCATATTGTAACAAATAAGCTGTGTGTGACTGCAGGTTTTGGACGAGTTTGGTTTGGTTTGTCAAGTGATGGTACATTTACTACATATGTACCCTTGTGCACGTATATATCTTATTGTCTTCATATGCATCTACGTGGGAATGATTGGCTGCAGTGTGCAGAAAATGACAACAGCTGTGTGCGGCTTGCTTATAAAACGAAAAACATGCATGCAATCCCATGCAAAAGAACAGTCTATATATCTGAATTCATATTATTGGTCACATTACAGTCTTATAAGCATTGAGATGGACATAAAAGATTCCATTTTGACTGGTGCAAAATATAAATATATTATGCGTAGGCAGCATATGTTTGTATAGCATGCTTCTATATTTATTTATAATATGTTTTTTAAAAATGTTGGAAGGTGGCTTTTGTTAATTACTGTTGTCCTTGTTATGTATTTGGAGCCTTTACAAACCTCCTAGTTATGTAATTAGCCTTTACAAACTTCCTAGTTATGTATTTGGCCTTTACAAACCTCCTAGTTATGTATTTAGCCTTTACAAACCTCCTAGTTATGTATTTAGCCTTTACAAACCTCCTAGTTGTGTATTTAGAGCCTTTACAAACCTCCTAGTTATGTATTTAGACTTTACAAACCTCCTAGTTATGTATTTAGCCTTTACAAACCTCCTAGTTATGTATTTGGCCTTTACAAACCTCCTAGTTATGTGTTTAGCCTTTACAAACCTCCTAGTTATGTATTTAGCCTTTACAAACCTCTTAGTTATGTATTTAGCCTTTACA